TCTAAGTGTTGCTTCTAAGTGTGTGGTTGGAGATATTCTGGAGAGTTTTACAGGCTGTCCTCTAGACAGTGGGGTTGGTGTGGGAAAGGAGGGGGAGGGGACAGGTCCCGTACCTCCTTCTTGATTTGGTCTGCTGTCGATTGCCAGGTTAGTATTAATCTTGCTGACTCTGAGTGAGTGTCATTTGGTCGTTAATTGTTGGAAAATATCTCTGCCAAAATACCGTATGCAAATATATCTGTACAAAATAAAAGAGTTGGTTTTGAATGCTTGCAAACATATGTGGAGAAGTACTGGATACAGCACTCACCAAATAACCCAGGTGCTCTGAAGCCAGGGTTGGCCAGGCCTCCCTTCCAAGATATGCAAAATAAATACTGATTCAGGCACTCCAGGACAACAAAAATAGCAGCTTTATTAGGGCCAAAGCAAAAAATAAAGCGAACATTTTTGTTATCCCGAAATGCCTGAACCATTATTTATTATGGAAATATATGTTGGCTACCGTTATATATATATATATATGTTGGTTGCTTCATCTAAGTGTTGCTTCTAAGTGTGTGGTTGGAGATATTCTGAAGAGTTTTACAGAAGCTCCAACTGTCTAAGAGTTGTGCTAAGAGTTTTCTTTTTTACTGTTACAGGTAAGATTCATCTGTAGGAAAAGGTTACTGATTGTACAAAGTTTGATTTCCTGTTGGTAATTTGGTAAGGCATTTGATTTGATTAAAGGACCACTCGTCACATACTCGTTTTCCTGGCACTATAGTGCCCTGAGGGTGCACCCCCTCCCGCCGGGCTCTGGGGAGACAAAAGGGGTTAAACTTACCTCTTTCTCCAGCGCCGGGCGTGGAAGCTCTCCTCCTCTGCAGCTGAAAGCGCATGCGCGGCAAGAGCCACGCGCGCATTCACCCAGTCCATAGGAAAGCATTCACAATTGTTGCTTCTAAGTGTGTGGTTGGAGATATTCTGGAGAGTTTTACAGAAGCTTCAACTGTCTAAGATTTTACTAAGAGTTTTCTTTTCTGCTGTTACAGGTAAGATTCATCTGTAGGAAAAGGTTACTGATTATACAAGGTTTGATTTCCTGTTGGTAATTTGGTAAGGCTTTTGATTTGATTAAGCTAGTTACTTGCTATTGATTGCTGGTTAATTAGCTAGTGTTTGCAAATAAGCAGAGGCCTACCCAGGTGTTAAACATTCCTAGTGGGTGGTGATTTTAGGAGTTAAATAAGGGTTGTTGTCATTAGCTTGGCTAATATAGCTTGGTTGCTTTATCTAAGTGCTGCTTCTAAGTGTGTGGTTGGAGATATTCTGGAGAGAAACTGGAGGTAATCTGAGGTATTCAAGAGGACTAAAAAATTAAGATTTGTTTGATTTAAATTATTCACCTCATTGGAATGGCAGACTTAGTTCAGTGTAATAGTTGCTATGCATTTATTTCATGTTCCACTTTTTGGAGGTTTGGTTGTTATCTAATCTGTAGACAGTTCTCTATCTTGCGGCAGGAGATTGTATTTTTGAAGTCTGAGATTTGTAAATTATCTGGTAAACAAACTCTGGAACTGCTGCAAAGCCACTGCCGCAGAGACATACTAGGAATGGCAGATGGATTACTGTAGGATCTGGTAGACAGAGTTGTGGATAAAAGGCATATTGCACAGTCTGTTGCTCTACATAATTAATTTTCTGCACTTTCAGAGTGTAATGGTGTCATGGAGAGAGGCACTGAGGGTAGTGGTGTTGTGGAGACAGGCTCAGGTACTGAGGCTAGTGGTGTTGTGGAGACAGGCATGGAGACTATGGTGAGGCCTAATAGAAAGCAGTTGTTGTTGGAGGATTCCATCATAAGAGGTGTGGAAATGGACAATGGAGGTCTTGTGAGGTGTCTTCCTGGAGCTACTGCTCACAGAGACAGGAGACGTATCTGTAATATTGTTAAGCGAGCAAAGCAGGACAAATGACTTGGCTTGCAATGAGGTTTCAGAGGTTAAGGAAGTTTTTAGTGTTTTTGCCAATGATATACAGCAGGTTGCTTCCATACTGTCATTCTCTGAAGTTCTGCCTGTGCATAACATTCAGAACGACAGGCGGATGCGTATTAGGGACTTTAACTTGTGGCTTGGTGAATGGTGTCGGGAGCAAGGATTTGGCTTTATTTCTCATGGTAGTTCTGTTTGGAATGGAAATAAACTGTACAAAAAAGATGGTTTGCATCTTTCTCCAAAGGGAAATGTACTCAGTGAGCAGTTCAGAGGTTTTGATAGGATGTATTTAAACTAGGAGGGGAGGGGGGAGGGGCAAAAGGGTGATAAAACATCAATCCAATTGTCCCCCAAAACAAGGACAGAAGGTGCCTGTAGCAAGTGTGTTAAAAAATGTTAAGCTTAGAGTCATGTCTACAAATGCTCACAGTTTAGGGAATAAGATCCATGAACTTGTGGCAATAATGGCAACTGATAGTGTAGATTTAGTCGCTGTTACTGAGACATAGTATAATGAGAAAAATGACTGGGACATAGCAATACCAGGTTACTCTTTATATAGAAAAGACAGGTAGGGCAAGAAAGGGGGAGGGGTGGCCCTGTATGTGAAGGATAGCAAAAAATCTAGCCTAATAAAAGTTAGTGAGGCGAACAAGAGTCCGTTTAGGTTACGTTAGAATTTGGTAATCACACAGTAACTTGTGTAGGTGTGATTTATAGGCCCCCAGGACAAAACGAGTTATATAATCTATTAGTTGAGGAAATAGCTAAAATGACAATGAAGGGGGACGTTATCTTCAAGGGTGACTTTAATCTTCTTGATGTGAATTGGAAAACCAATATAGCTGCTTGTGCCAGGAGCACACATATTCTACACTCCCTACTGGGATTGTCTCTAAAACAAGTCGTTGAGGAGCCAACTCGTAAAGAGGCCATACTAGATTTAGTGTTAACAAATGGAGATTTGGTATCAGATATTACTGTAGGTGAAAGTTTAGGATCCAGTGATCATCAGTCAGTGTGGTTTAATATAAGAACAGTGACTGAGTCACACCACACAAAAACAAAAGTTTTAGACTTTAGAAAAACAGACTTTTCTAAAATTAGAATATGTGTAAAGGAGTCATTATCAGACTGGAGCAATTTTAATGGAGTCCAAGAGAAATTGGATTATTTAAAAGTTGCACTACTGAAGGCAACAGAAAATTGCATTAGGCTTGTCAGTAAAAGCTAAAATTTCAAGAAACCACTGTGGTACTCCACAGATGCGGCCAAAATAGTAAAAAACTAAAATTTAGCATTTAGTAATTATAAAAAACCCAGAGTGAGGAAGACAGAATGATCTATAAGATTAGGCAAAAAGAGGCTAAGCAAGTTATAAGAGCTTCCAAATCACACACAGAAGAGAAAATAGCACAGTCAGTAAAAAAGGGGGACAAAACTTTTTTTAGCTACATAAATGAAAAAAGAAAAGTAAAACAAGGATTAGTTAGATTAAAACAAAAGAAGGAAGGTATGTAGAAGAGGATAAAGGTCTAGCTGACTGCCTCAATGAATACTTTTGTTTTAAATATGTTTATTTGTTTCATAACATATTCCAGTGCAAATGTTTAACATGTTAAAGCGGGTTAGTGCCTGCGCAGAGGCCTGGTTTTCATTGCATGAATAGATATATAAATCGCTGCCTGTGCAGAGGCTCATCAATCATGTCTATTGTTCTACAGCATTTAATATAATATCACATTTGAGCGTGTTTTTGTTGTCTTTCTTATCTATCTTGCATATTTATAGCCAAATAAAATATATTAATATGTAAGCATGTAAACGTGTAAATGCTCATTTGAATAAAGTAATTAACTTATAATGCGTGGTCAGATACAGACTGCTGCTAAAAGTGCAGTACTGTTAAAAGTTATATAATCGGACAACCTTTATAGAATGCTGTAGTCTCCATTTTTGTTCAAATGCACATGGGGATTTAGGCCAGAGCGCAGGTAACGTTTTTCTTTGTTTTTACTATGTATATATTATTTGAGCTTCATGGTCATCAACCTTATTTATATATAAACAGCGGTTATGGGTCTGGACTCAAATGTGCCTTCATGGGAGATATAATGAAAAATACTAACTCAGAACAACCATAAGTGCTTCATATAGGCTTCTATATTCACGCAGGTGTGAGTTACAATCGTCATATATGGTGAAAGTACTGCCTTAGCCAGGTGTTTTGATGCCATGATGGATCCGATCAGCGTTAGAGCAGCGTCCTATTAACCACCATACTAGCTTGCCGTGAGATGAGCGTTTGGTCTTCAGGGCTGATGACCGATATATGGGGCTCTATGATCTTGGCCAGTTCTATGTGAAGGTTTAAGTATATTAATATATGTCATGTAATACAACCGCCTGACTATTTAAGGACACCTTAATGGACAGCGTATTCCTTCTGACGCTGAGTCGTTTAAGTGCTAGTGAAGCGGCTACATTGAAAGCTTAATGTGTGGGCAATTGACAGGGTACTTCAGTCCTTTTAGGAGTATTTTAGCATTTCAAATAATTAGTAGACATATATGCATATTCGTTCTTTGAGCGACCTCGACGACTGGCAGAGAGTGAACGTAAGATGTGCATAACCTAAAAGCATAGTAATATCTGAGTTAGATTGTATGCATGTTAACCTTCCCTCTATAATGCAGGAGTTCGGCTATTAAGTAAGCAATAGAGACTAACTCAGAACTTTTGCCCGTGGGGGCACCGTGGCACCAATAGCCTATTGACTTTTCAAGCTGATATGGGTAGTCTATTGCATTGTTATATGGTCCAGTAATTAAGGTAAAAAGCAAATATAATACGTGAATAATTTCAGCAGACCATTTGTGTTATGTCGTCTCAGGGCTTGATCCCTAGGACACAAACTGTGGCCCAAATAGCCTATTGACTTTTAAAGCTGATATGGGTAGTCTATTGCATTGTTATACGGTCCAGTATTAAAGTAATAAGCAAATACAGTACGTGAATAATTTCAGCAGACCATTTGTGTTATGTCATTTCAGGGCTTGGTCCCTAGGACATAGAAAAGATGAGTCCCTTCTCTGGAGGTGGTTTATCAGCTCCACTGCGGGGGGGATCCCTCCTCCCATGGTATATGGCTTCTTGGGTGGTCTTTTGCGCTGCAAGCTGGTTGCTCACTGCTTGGGCCCCCTAGTGTCCCACCTGTAGCGAACCCCCTCAGTTCCCTCCAGGGCTTGCCCCTGCTTTGCATCAGAGAGTCTCACAGTGTTGTGGGCACTCAGGGTCGGGAGCAGTCCAGCGGCCTCCCACCCCTGAAAAGTCCGCGGGTCCCCCATCCCCTGCACCTCCCCAACTCCTGCTCACCCTTCTCCGGTCACATGCTCGGCATCAGTGCGTGCCTCCCCAGCCACCGGTCTGCTAGGGGTCAGCATACCCCGGTACCGCAGGGCTCGCAGAGTTGGGGGCGTCTACACCTGGACCACCACCAAATCCTGGGGCCCAGACCGGCTCCAGTTCTCCGCCCCGAGTGGTCCTTCTATGGGATCCGGTATCCTGGGGGTCCAGGTGACCCAGCGTGGCTCTCAGCTGCGTGTGTGTCCGCCATCTTGGTTCCCCGTGGGAAGAGGCCTTCGCCTTCGCCCCCAGCCTCTGAAGGTCTGACTCATGGGCCAGGGGGGAAAAGGGGGGAGCGGGACCGGGCCGTCGTCCACCTCTCTCCTTCTATCGCCTTGCGAGCTTCGCCGCCTCCACATGTGTGTAGGCCTTGTGCCAGTCATTCTGGCTTCACGGTTGCAGCGTGGGGAGCGGCCGTTCATCCCTTGGGCTCTCCTTATGTGCTGCCCCGGCTCCCGGTGCTCTTAAAGGGTAGTATTTCCTTGGCCTTTTTTGGCTTTTTCAGAGCTGTTGTGCCGTTCAGGGTCGGAGTTGGCGCGGTTGGCTGCCTCTCTGCTCGGCGGCCGGCCCCACCCCCAATGAATATTTTTGTTTGGTATTTACAGATGAAAATGAAGGAAAGGGACCTCAGTTAAGAAAAAGGATATATGAGTCATTTATTACACGTGAGTTTACAGAGGAAGAGGTTCTATTTCAACTGTCAAAAGTAAAGACAAATAAGTCAATGGGACCTGATGGAATATACCCAAAGCTATTAAAAGAGCTTAGTGGTGTACTAGCAAAACCATTAACAGATTTATTTAACCAATCATTGTTAACAGGAGTAGTCCCAGAAGATTAGAAGTTAGCGAATGTTGTATCCATTCACAAGAAAGGTAATAGGGAGGAGTCGGGCAACTATAGGCCAGTAAGCCTTACTTCAGTAGTGGGGAAAGTGATGGAAACCATGTTAAAGGATAGAATTGATGAACATCTAAAAACACATGGATTTCATGATCAGAGACAACATGGGTTTACTTCAGGGAGATCATGCCAAACTACTCTTGGGCATTGATTTTTTTGATTGGGTAACTAAAATTATAGATCAGGGTGGTGCAGTAGACATTGCTTAACTAGATTTCAGTAAGGCTTTTGACACTGTTGCACATAGAAGACTTATCAATAAACTGCAATATTTAAGTTTGGATTCCAATATTGTTGAATGGGTAAGGCAGTGGCTGAGTGACAGGCAACAGAGGGTTGTAGTCAATGGAGTATATTCGAAGCTTGGGCTTGTCACCAGTGGGGTATCTCAGGGATCTGTACTTGGACCCATTCTCTTTAATATTTGTATTAGTGATATTGCAGAAGGTCTTGATGGTAAGGTATGTCTTTTTGCTGATGATACTAAGATATGTAACAGGGTTGATGTTCCAGGAGGGATGAGCCAAATGGCAAATGATTTAGGTAAACTAGAGAAATGGTCAGAGTTGTGGCAACTGACATTTAATGTGGATAAGTGCAAGATAATGCATCTTGGACGTAAAAAACCAAGGGCAGAGTACAGAATATTTGATAGAGTCCTAACCTCAACATCTGAGGAAAGGGATTTAGGGGTGATTATTTCTGATGACAAAGGTAGGCAGACAATGTAATAGAGCAGCAGGAAATGCTAGCAGAATGCTTGGTTGTATAGGGAGAGGTATTAGCAGTAGAAAGAGGAAAGTGCTCATGCCATTGTACAGAACACTGGTGAGACCTAACTTGGAGTATTGTACGCAGTACTGGAGACCGTATATTCAGAAGGATATTGATACTTTAGAGAGAGTTCGGAGAAGGGCTACTAAACTGGTTCATGAATTGCAGGATAAAACTAACCAGGAAATGTTAAAGGATCTTAACATGTATAGCTTGGAGGAAAGACGAGGCAGGGGGCATATGATAGAAACATTTAAATACATAAAGGGAATCAACACAGTAAAGGAGGAGACTATATTTAAAAGAAGAAAAACTAAAAACAACAAGAGGACATAGTCTTAAATTAGAGGGACGAAGGTTTAAAAATATCAGGAAGTATTACATTACTGAGAGGGTAGTGGATACATGTAATAGCCTTCCAGCTGAAGTGGTAGAGGTTAACACAGTAAAGGAGTTTAAGAATGCGTGGGATAGGCATAAGGCTATCCTAACTATAAGATAAGGCCAGGTACTAATGAAAGTATTTAGAAAATTGGGCAGACTAGATGGGCTGAATGGTTCTTATCTGCCGTCACATTCTATGTTTCTGTAGGTACCCAGACCCTTTCTGCCCTTTGGAGTGGTCTGGGTGCCAACTCCCACTACCCTTAACCCCGCAAGTGTATTATTAGGTCTCCCCGGCCGGTGGGCGGGATCAGTCTCGCCCACCGGCCGACGTAATGCAGAGGAGGAGTGGCGGCAGAGGAAGAAGCAGCGACCTTCAGCAACCGGGATTGGGAGGTGGGAGGGAGAGGGAACCTGCAGTGCCAGGAAAACTGATTGTTTTCCTGGCACTGGAGTTTCCCTTTAACTCTATTGTTAATGTAACTAGGTGGTCTATTAATAGTGTAACTAGGCTACACCAGGATATATGACTGGTGGCCATCTTGATGCTCTTTGAAGCACATGGTGGGCAGCCATCTTGGCGCTCCTAAAAGTTTAACACAGTAGTTATTGTGAAATCCTTTGAATTGAACAAACAAATTCATCCAAAACAATGAACCACAACAGATATAGTTTGTTTTTCTTTTTTCAAACTTATATAATTGTTCCTTTCTTACCCCTCCACATAATAGACTTTATAACACAAAACACATTGCACCACACACACACACACACACACACACACACTGCACCCCTCAAGCACACTATATCCCCTAAACATACTAAATCCTTTATAGACATACACTGCACTACCTACATACACATTACATCCCTTATGCACACTCTAGACTCCCTGTACGCAAACACACACACACACACTACATTCTCCAAACACACACTCTACAGCCCCTAAACATTTAACATCACCGATACACACATGCACTACAGTGCCCATGCACACACAGTGCTCTCTATATACACACACTACAGCCCCGAGCAGTGATTATTACATCACTAAACACAACTGAAATAAACCAATTTACACAAAACACCACACCTCAATCCGCTCACTCTCCACACACACAATCACACAAGCAGCCTACAAACACGTGTACAATACACTTTCTTGGCCCTTTTGTTCTCTGGTATCCCATTTATGGAGCGTAAGCCTTTTTATCTTCAGCAGGGCTCTACGCATGGACTGCCCTGAAAGGGCATTGAAATAAAATGCTCACTTTGAGGTAAGGAGTGCTTGTCATTGGTAATGACAGCAACCCCCCCTCTTATTGAGCCGCTGTGATAAAAATGCCCAGGCCAAATTTTTTTCCCCCAGTCTGGCACGGGTTGCACCTACCCTCAATATGGAGGGAGAGCAACAGAAGAGACTGAGTTCAGTCAGTTTTAGACAGACTGAGTTTTAGAATGTGGGAAGACATCCAATCGGATACAAGACAGGCTACCAGAGACTTGTTCTAATACAGCAGGAGAGAGGTCAGGGGAGCTATAGAGAGAGAATCTGATGGAAACAGAATATAGTGTGTGCTGGGTACCAGTCAAACCCTCTACAATGTGAGTGGTACCCGGAAAGGACCACACCCCAGCCCTCTACATTTTGGCCTATTACTTAAAGTGCAGCAAGGGTCTATGGCAAGTGGTTATAGAATATCTACTCTAATAATGTATCATTAAAAGTAGCCACTGGGCAAGTTTACCTTCCACCTATTTCTAGCAGAAAACTGGATGCCTGAACAAGAGTAAAGAAGAATGTGACTGTGCACCTCTGCAAAAAATTAATAAATAAATAAAAGAGAATACTGAGAATGGACAACAGTGCACATAGCTTGCCCTACGGCAGGTCCCTGCTCAGCTTTCAATCTTGTTTTAGCTTATCTTGTGCCATCACAGAGAGAATCTAAACCATTTGCATATCAGACTGATCCTACCTAAAAGGGTGGTACAAATCCAAAATACAACCATTCAGATATCCAGACCCCTTGTCATGTCCGGTGCAGCTGCACCACGTCCAGTGACACAGCATCAGCTGTGTCGTGTGCTGCGCATGCATGCTAGCAGGCCCAGAAATCTGATGGACATGCTGACATGCATGTGTGGGACCGCAGTGTTACACCCGGCTATGCGACATCAGCTGCCCCTGTGCAGGACTGTTTCTCCTTACAGCTTGGCAATCATCGTAACTCCTCCTCCTCCTCCATCAGGTTCCCAGTGTCTGAAAAGGCTGTTCAGCAAGGTCCTGCAAGGCAAGTAAAGTTAATGAAGGTTAAAATGGGTGAATTACATGTTCCTCTATACTTCTAATAATTTAGTACTACTGGAATTGTTATACAAAGAGCAGAAAAACACTACACGAAGATTCACTGAGATCAAGGGTGAGCAGAGTATAACCTTCTAGCTGTTTATTCTCCACAACTCCCTTTATGCCAACATGCCTTTTGTCTATATAAGCATTAACATCTGGAACATTGGATTTTGCTTTACACTAGCATTATCAGTTTGACGAGTGAGTAAAAATCTTATGACATAAAACATCAAAATGGGGTATAATTTGGCTGCAGTCTATAAGAACCAGCTCACATACTGCTGATTGATAACATAATGTGAGGCTGCAGCAGAAGATTAAAGAATTCATGAATACATTGTAGATCTCTATGGGTGGAAATGAGTTAACCATTCTTCCAACCAGCATAAGATAAATCCTTTTACTAAGAGCTAAAAATAACAGAAT